TTAGTTGCGATGGTACAACAAGACTCTCGGTCAGCTAGATGGTAAAGTGCCGACTGACCTCACTTCTCTTCTGACTCACACAAGAACTAACAGTTTCTTTTCTACCCAAAAATCAATTGGTATCTTCTTACAATAGCAAGCTTATTGCCTTATTTGGGAAAAGGATGGCATAGACAGCCCCTTAGCAAGGTACACTGAACGCATTCCTGAGGGAGGGGGAAATCGGAGGAGGGAGCCTGATTTGGAGTTTGAGAAAAATACCAAAATGCAGAGGTTTGGGAGCAAAATGAAGGACCGCGCCCATCTCTGTGCGCATGATTGTGACAGGGAATACCTTGCAGCGCCGCTCCGGGATCTGTTCTTCACTTACCTAGTCCTTCACTCCCGCGATAACCCCCCTGCAGTGCCCCCGGCAATGTCCTCCGGCCGATGCCGGCATCTGTCTTCTGGGTTCCGTTCCCTGCGATGACGGGATGTATGGGGGACAGAACAGCGGGAAATTTGAAAATGTGAAAAAGTGACATTCACTAAAATCACTAAAATCACATAGTATAACATTACTGTATCAAACCATTTCACATACATTTTGTCCCGAGTGATTTGTCCTGTGCCCTGCCTGCATTTTGACTGTTCTTTCTGCCTGGAAACTGAGAAATGTCCATGGTGTCCAAAAAGTGTCCCTTTAGGTCAAAATCAGTTTTAGACCGGCTAGAGAACAGCGATAGTAAATCAGAACCACTTGCAGAATTGAGTGATAATGATTTGTGGGGGAAATTCGTCATCAGACACTGAAAAGGATTTTGCGACTTTGCTCAGTGATGTGCGAACTTGGCGCTATAGTTCAAATTTCAGTGTTTTTAGTTTGATTATATTATTGAATTAAATGTATGATTATTTTTTATGATTATTTATTATATTATAATTTATGATTTTGTGTTTCAATTTTTAACATACCCGGGATGTTTAATAGACTCTTGTTCGGACAGATTTCAGTGAGTTATTCCTAAAAATGACAGGCCTACAATTAAAAAAATACATATTTCCATGCAAAAAAATGTACCGCTTTCAGCAAAGAAATACTGACATAATCAGACCTCTAGGGAGGTTAAGGAAGCCGGCCGCCAAGCCCTTAACATCAGCTGTCGGCAGGTTTACCAATGACAGATGAATGTAAAATTGTCAGCAATTATAAATAATTTAAAAAATGTTGGCGTGGGGGTTCCCCTCAAAATCCATACCAGACCCGAAGGACTTGGTATGGATGGGGGGGGGGGGGGGGGGTCCACACCGTTTTTTACATTAATTTATAATTGTTGCCAATTCTTGTTGTTTACAATTAGCTGCCATTGGGAATCCCGCTGACAGCTGATGAGTCATCTGTTGTTAAGGGCTCAGCGACCGGCTTCCTTAACAACCAGCTAAAGTGCGATAAATTACCGCATGAAAATATGTGGTAATTACCGCAATAACAATATTTTTTTTTTGCATTAACTATTTACCGCAAAATTCTTAGTGAATTGCACATTTGTAAAAGCTTTACCGCACTTGATATTTTATTGCATTTATTTAGTTGTTCTTTAACTCTTAGTGAATTGACCCCTTTGTGTAATGGTCAAAGCAGCTTGTTCGGTAAATCCGGACCAGAAACATAGAAAAGAAGGGAATTCAGTCTATTTTTATTATTATACAGCGCCAACAGTATGTGCAGCACTTTACAATATAAGGGAGACAGTACAATTACAATACATGTCAGTACAGAAGGAATAGGAGGGTCCGGCTCGTGGAGCTTACAATCTAAAGGAAGGGGGAGGTGATATAAAAGCTGATAGCTGTGGTGGATGATCTGGTGGAGGTGATTCAAGTACAGTTCTTAGGTGGAGGTGGGGTAGGCATCCCTGAAGAAATGAGTTTTCAAAGATCGCCTAAAGGCAGACAGGGTGGGGGCTGACCGGACATTCTGTGGTAGGGAGTTCCAGAGGATGGGAGAGGCTCTGGAGAAGTCCTGGAGGCAAGCGTGGGAGGAGGTGATGAGGGACCTAGAGAGGAGGATATCATGGGAGGAGCGGAGTTGGTGATTTGGGCGGTATCTGTGGAGGAGGTTGGTGATGTAGCTAGGGGCAGTGTTGTGGATGGCTTTGTAAGCTGTGGTTAGTATTTTGAAGGAGGAGGAGTTGTATGTGACACTGAAAGTGCGCTGAGAAAGGTAAGAGGAGAACCAGGAGAGAGCAGAGTCACGGAGGCCGATGGAGTGGAGTTTACTGAGGAGGAGCGGGTGGTCGAATGTGTCAAAGTCTAGAATTCACCCAATGAGGTTTCATGCATACAAGGCATTTCATTTTCTGCTCTGAAAACCTTTTACTCCTGGCAGGAAAAATCTAATTAAAATACGTGCCTAAAGCCACGTATGGCGCATGCGTTTAAATGCCTTTAAATGCCTCATTTGAGCATTAATGGATTCCATATTAATTTATTTTGGCCATTGGAATGGAATTATCGCTCAAACACACCTAAAAACATCTAGTGTTTAGACTCGTTTTTATACGCTTTTAGGTGTGTCAAGTGTTTTTATGCCCAAAAGCTCCTCTCCTGAATGCGCTGGTGATGGTTATTGAATTCAGCCTGTAAACTCTGTTCCTCTAATATGCCTGTAACCGTGTATGTGTGCATTGACACATAGGGGTTGATTTACTAAAGGCAAATAGACTGCACAGTTTGCAAAGTGCAGTTGCTTCGGAGCTTAGTAAATGATGTAAACCTCCACTTTGCAAAGAATACACAATCACATACAAGGAAACTTTTAAAAAAAATGAATTTTTGCTTGCACATGATAGGATGATGGAAGCCAGCAGAGCTTCTGCTCACTAAGCTCTGGAGCAACTGCTCTTTGCAAAGTGCACAGTCTATTTGCCTTTAGTAAATCAACCCCTTAGGCTAACATAGAGATGCATTTACAGGCTAAAAAATGTTAAACGCCTGTAAAAGAAGCATTTTTTTAAGCCCTGTATACATGAGGCCTAATAGGAATTTCTGGTCAAGATAGAGTTCAAATTAACCGCTTGTCTGCCACCCTATAGCAGAAGTACTGCTACAAGGCAGCAGGGCTGCGCAAAATTTATAATATATATATATATATATATATATATATATATATATATATACGCGCTGGTATTGGCAGCTAGGGATGTCAATCACCGGGTCCTGGCCAGCGATTCCCAGCTGGCACTCAGCGATCGTCGGGGAAAGCTGACAGGGAAGAGATCTGTGTATAAACAACACAGGTCACTCTCCTGTCAGCATGGACATGCTGCTTTGTATGTCTCTGCACAGCAGAGACATACAAAACAGCATGTTTCTGTAGTAAAACACACACAGCACACACAGTTAAACGTTTGATCGCCCCAGATGTTAACCCCTTCTTGCCCAGTGTCAATAGTAGAGTGTCAGTGCTTTTTAATAGCACTGATCCCTGTATTAGCGTCACTGACAGTTAGTCAGCTCCCACCCAGTGTCAAAATGTCTGCTGCAGTCCTGCAGTCCCGCTATAAGTCGCTGATCGCCGCCATTACTAGTATAAAAAAAAAAAAAATCCACTATATATATATACACCGCCATTCTATAACTTTCATGTAAACCAAATAATTTACACATATTAGGATTTTTTTTTTTTTAGCAAAGATATGTAGCAGAATGCATTTTGGCCTAAATTTTTGCAGAAATTAGTTTTTTTAAATTCTAGTATATATACCGCCATTCTATAACTTTCATGTAAACCAAATAATTAACACGTATTAGGATTTTTTTTAGCAAAGACATGTAGCAGAATACATTATGCTGAAATTTGATTTTTTACATTTTTTTTTACTGGATATGTTTTATAGCAAACAGTCAAAAATATTGTTTTTTTTTTTTCAAAATTGTTTGTCTTTTTTTATTTATAGCACAAAAAATAAAAAACACAGAGGTGATCAAATAGAAAGCTCTATTTGTGGCAAAAAAAGGGACATAAATTTCATTTATGTACAGTGTTGCATGACCATGCAATTGTCAGTTAATGTAATGCAGCACCGTATCATTAAAAATGGCCTGGTCAGGAAGGGGGGGGGGGGGGGGGGGTAAATCCTCTGGAGGGCAAGTGCCTAAAGGAAACATTTGTTTTCATTTGCTCACAGTAGAAAAATTCCCCCAAATTTACACAACCCACCATTTCCCTGCATTAGTCTGTTCTATAATACCTTACAAAGGCTTTGCATACTGACTTTTCTCAGCGGAGTTGAGGTTCAGCAGGCTTCCGTATATAGTAAATGTTTAATTCATCCAGGTAGGTAGTATTTCATAGTTGGCCAGTCCACTGATTAATTGTTCTCATTTGCATTTTTTCAATTATAGGTAAGCAAACCAGCGGAGTCCCCAGACAGGCCGCATTTCAGTTAACAAATTCTGACTTTCGGCAAATTAATATCGTGTCCAAATGCAGCATCCCCATTATTAGGAGCTGGTAAGGCGCCTGTCACCACCAAACGCAAAAACCAACTGCTATTAATTGGAGTGAGGAATTAAGCCTTTCTGAAAATAGTAGAATCACATTAGAAAAATCCTTATAATTAGGGGATAACAACATGAAAAGCTGTCTACTTTCTAAATTACAGAAAACAAAAGTTGTTTGCTTGGAGTTCAAAGGAAGATATAGTGAGTGTTCAGTGAATCTACATTGTAGGTTATTATTGTAGTAATTATCTGGAGGTATGATCTACTGTGTGTGTGAGCTGTGATTTCACTGATGATATTTTAACCATTTTTATCATGTTTCATGTCCAGGGGCGGACTGACAACTCATGGGGCCCCTGGGCAATAGGGAATCATGGGGCCCCTGTGTCCTTGCCCAAACTCAAAAAAACCTATGAAAAAGGTACCAGGGGCATCTCATGGGGCCCCCTACTGACCCCGGGCCCTCGGGCAGTGCTCGAGTTTCCAAATGGTCAGTCCGCCCCTGTTCATGTCACTTGTGTAGTTTCTCTCTTGTGCCTAGATTTATATCAGACATCTGCAGTTATTACCAGGGGCGGACTGACAACTCATGGGGCCCCCGGGCAATAAGGGATCATGGGGCCCCTGTGTCCTTGCCCAAACTCAAAAACGCCTATGAAAAAGGTACCAGGGGCATTTCATGGGGCCCCCTACTGACCCTGGGCCCTCGGGCAGTGCCCGAGTTTCCAAATGGTCAGTCAACCCCTGGTTATTACCCATTCTAAATAAATGGGATTATGAAAGGTATTATTTTTAGCTGGTCTGGGCAGACTGATAGATGCCCACTAGTAGAGAGGAACAGTAAAGTACAATCACTTTGCAGTAATATTAAAAATATATATATATACTACTGCTTATACAGTTAACCAATATAATTGCACCCATGTAAACACAGAAGTAAAAACTATATATGAATGTAAAAAATATTAACATAGATTGATTCTATTATACAACTGATTATATCAATAAAAAAGATTAAAAACAACCCCCCCCCCCTAAAAAAAATTAAATAAATATATATATATAAAATATATACACACATACTGTGTATATATATATATATATATATATATATATATATATACACACACATACTATATATATACTTGTAAACACAGTCAGGTGTAGCTAATTACCTTCTCAATGGCACACAAAGCCATTTGACTTTCAACTGTGATCAGCTGTTTTCATTTTGATTAGCTCAGCATGAAAAAAACTTTCCTGGAGCATTTCAGTCCCAGGTAGTGCAACTAAAGCAAACAATCAACTATGGGTGGCAAGGCACTGTCAAAAGATCTCACAGACACAAGTCAGGAGATGGATACAAAAATATTTCAAAGGCTTTATCAATGCCTAGAAGCACAGTGAAGTGTATTATTAAGAAATGTTTGGTACAATGCAGACCCTCCCTGGATCAGGACGTCGCTCCAAACTGGATGAAAGAGCCAGGAGGAAACTGGTCAGAGAGGCTACCAAGAGGCCTACAGCAACTAAAGCAGTTGCAGGAATTGATGACAAAGAGTGATGATCTTGTGCATGTGACAACAATATCACAAATCCTCCACAAATGTGGCTTGTATGGGAGGGTTGCAAGAAAAAAAGACACTCCTCAAGAAAGGCAACATGCAGTCACCACTGAGCTTTGCCAAAATGCACTTTGAAGATTCTGAGGCCACATGGAAAGAGGCGTTATGGCTAGATGGGACTAATATTTAATGATTTGGCCTCAACACTAAACGATATGTCTGCAATGCAGATTTCACTTGCAGAGATATTGGTTTACATCAATTTCTATTCAAACCTCAATGCTGGTTCACATATATGCCGCATCCAATCCGCATGACGTGAAAAAACATTGCTTCCTATGGTGCCTGTTCACATATGTCCGATGCACTGGCGGTGCAGATTCAGTGCGGAGTGAAAAAGAGTCGTGTCTGATTTCTGAGCAGTGCGGTCCAGTTCAGGTGCAGGTCACAGGCTATTGTCTTCTATGGGAACCGTTTCTAAACAGAATATGTGTGAACATGATAAGATCCTGAGCTAATTCTGTCCTACATCCAGGCCCATACTGGGACAAAAAATAGGCCCGGGCATTTTGGACTGAGCAGCCCAAAGCCCGGGGACCCTTTCCTCGGAGCCCGGTGGCAGAACTCCAGGGCCCAGTCGCAAGAGCGAACTTTGCAAACCTGGTAGTTCCGCCACTAGTGTCAGTAGGTTTTTTATTTTTATAAAAAGAAAAAGAAAGAAAGAAAGAAAGAAAGAAAAAAAAGAAAGAAAGAAAGAAAGAAAAAAAGAAAGAAAGAAAGAAAAGAAAGAAAAAAAAAAAGAAAGAAAAAAAAAAAGAAAAAGAAAAAAGAAAGAAAGAAAGGAAGAGGGAAATTAAGAAATGTCCCATACAGTTGGATAAAACAAAAATTCTGCCTCTCTTAATTTCAGGCAGCAAAATGTGATTATTTGTAAAGGGGTGATTCTTTTCTATACCATATATATATATATATATATATATATATATATATATATATATATAAACAAAGGACCACACCAATCCAACAATATAACTAAAAATTGTGTTTTTTTTGTTTATATTAATTTATAAATACTGTAAGGCATATACTGTTTAATTCAATGTGCATTTTCTGTAAAATATGACACATATATCTATATAATATATAAATATTACATTTATAAATAAAAATACACAGTATCTCACAGAAGTGAGTCCACCCCTCACATTTGTGTAAATATTTTATTCTATCTTTTCATGTGACAACATTGAAGAAATGACACTTTGCTACAATGTAAAGTAGTGAGTGTACAGCTTGTAATGCATTTCAACATACAGTATGTGTGTGTATATATATATATATATTATATATTGAAATATATATTTTGAAATATATTGAATACTGTCAAAATTGTAGTATTTCAAATATATGTCAATATATTTGAGAAGAATATTTTAAAAATATATTTCAAATATGTTTTTCTTCCATGTGGGTAATGACACTGGCTGGGAAGGGGTTAAACATATAGGGTAATCAAAGGATTAAATGTGTGTTTAATGTGTGCTTAACCAATGTTTGTGTGTGTACTTTCCGATGCTTTCACTAAGGGATGTGCTGGATTTTATTCTCTGCTTAGCAGGGAAACAAAATCCAGCACATCCCTGCTGACAGGACAGAGCTCTACCTTGTTTACATAGGCAGAGCTCTGTTCTGTCTTTCCCCTCGACGATCAGCAGGTGCCTCCAGTCATCCATTGGCCGGCACCCACTGATCGGCTTGTGCTGTGTCTAATCACAGCACAGGCGGGTTGTTGTCCTCGTGCGCCCTTGCCCCAGATCTCGTACTAGGTATGTGATCTAGTGCAGAAGTACCACTCTGCCCACCGTATAACTAGGTTATGTGGTTGGCAAGTGGATATACACACACAAAACTTTTTTATACTATATATTTTTAATTAAATATGATACATCAAATGCTTTTGCCATGTTTAAATACAGAGTATAGTTCGGTATACTGGATTTAGAGTTGGGATGAGCTAAGTGTTCGATCTGAATGTTGGTGTGGATTGAACACTGGCTGTTCAGATGCTTGCCCGAACACCTAATGTTTAGGGCGTTTGGCATAGACTAACATGAGAGGCTGTCGATGGTTATTAAAGGAGCAGCGGATGCTTGCGGCCGCTGCATCCTTACCAACCTCTGACATCAACTGTCCCATTCACTTACATGGTCAGGAATCCATGGCCACTTAAACAAATGGGTGGAGAATGAAGCGAGTTACATCGTTGCTTAAATATGAACACATGGCCATACTTGGTAGATGTTACCACTATCCAAGCAGTCAATGGTTGTTTAGTAAGCAGCTGCTGCTTGCACCCACTGCATCCTTACCAACCACTGACGTAACCTGGCCCAAAAACTTACATGGGTGGGAATCCCTGGCTGCATGGGTGAGACAAAATGGGTGAGGAATGGAGCCTTACATCATTGCCTAAATATGGCCACAGGGCTATATTTGAGCAATGATGTCACCACTATCCCCTCCCCTTCCTTTATGTAGCCAATGATATCATGGGGATTTGGTTTGGGCTTATGTTACCATTGGGGAATGGTTGTGTGTGGTGGGTACCAGGGGCGGACTGACCATTTGGAAACTCGGGCACTGCCCGAGGGCCCGGGGTCAGTAGGGGGCCCCGTGAGATGCCCCTGGTACCTTTTTCATAGGCTTTTTTGAGTTTGGGAAAGGACACAGGAGCCCCATGATCCACTGGGGTCAGTAGGGAGCCCCATGAGATGCCCCTGGTACCTTTTTTCATAGGCTTTTTTGAGTTTGGGCAAGGACACAGGGGCCCCATGATCCCCTATTGCCCGGGGGCCCCATGAGTTGTCAGTCCGCCCCTGGTGGGTACTATGTACCCTATGCTCATTCACATAAGGGGGAGCCAGTATCTGGGGGCTCACTTTTTTCTAAAGGGGACTTCCAAATTCCAATAGTCCCCTCCAAACCATTTTCCTTTAAAAAAAAGGCTCTTTAGCTCAAACCAGAGTTTAGGCAAAGAACAGATGTGGCAAAATCCCATCTCTTCACTTTTTAATACTGACTCTTGCACAGTGCATATCAGTGTTGAGTCTTGTTTTCAGGCCCTGGGGTAAGTGTGCAAGCGCCTTACTTAGGTACGCAAAGCCCAGCCATGTGTCAGGAGACATGGACACAGAGCAAAGTTCAAATTGTTTACACACTAGTAGAGTTTTGACTGAACGTTCATACATATTAACATTCTTACAAAAATTCTCCTTAGCACATTTGATGACCTGACGAATGTTGTTTGAAAGTTCTTCAAAATTGAGTTTGCTGGTAGCATTCAATTTCGAAGTGGGTGCACTTTCCCATATAAAGACACCATTTACAGATAGAAATGTGTTTATTGGAGAAAAAAATTCCACCCTGTTCTTTTGAATCTTTTCATCACTGCGGTCGAAAATGAACATCAATTTTACCCCACTCAGCAATAGAAAATTGAATAAACATTCCTAAAACTAATATTTTAGTGGTCAACTTTAGCAAAATATGATTACAATGTCACGTGATTCCATTAAGGATTGTTTGCACATACACAGGTAAGTATGCAGTGGTCACGATAAGTACTTGAAAAGATCTTTCCTGTTTTGTGTCTAGATGCCATTTACTAGTTAATGTGAAGAGTTGGACATCTCTCAGCAGTTGCAGCTATTCAGAGAGCTGTGCAGACTCAATAAATGAGAATTAAAATCTTTCCTGCCCTATGGATTGGCCGGGCGTGCATCCAGCTCAAACAATTGCAGATATGACTTGGCTGCCAACTCACACAGCACAAGTCCATCTACCACCTGTCCGGCTTAGAGACAAGCCAATAGGAGGGACTCTAACCCACCAAATGTATGTTCCCATTGGTTTATTATACTCCACATTATGGTGCTTTCAAAGATTAACTGTCATTATATTCTGGACATTAGTAGGGCCCGAATCCATTGCTAATTTGTAGACAAAATATTTTTTTTTTC